AATGATCCTTATCCACCATTTTGATGTGTTTTGAAAAAGGCGATTGAAGGTTCTGTCGACGATATCGCACTTGAATGAATAGCCAAGAAAAAGCGACTATTGGGCTTCGTGGCCTCCCAGCTACTCACACACTCCAGTACTTAAGCTCGCACCTGCCATGGACCTCGGCTCCGACATTGCAAGCGACTCAGAGGATGATGGTGTTTCTACAAGCGACAGCGAGTATGCGGCAACGTCTCCATCTTTGCCAGAGGGCGAAGAGGGTGGGTGGAATCAGGATAGCGACCAGGAAGTGTCGCTCGGTCTCTCTGTGGATTCACGTGCTCAAGCGCTAATCCAGGCAACTTGGGCAGGCAAAATGCTGGGAAGAAAAGGAAGACGAGATCGAGCGGTTTACTACTTCCGTTGTGGCTATGACTTACGTGAAAAAGAAAACGATCATCTCGACAGCGCTAGCAGTTGCAATGGGCGATGGAGTACCTGTGCAACGTCGTGGAGATGAAAGCGGTGATTACAAGTTTATTGTCGAGGGCATGTACAAGAAAGTGAAGTCCATTCAGGAGTTCCCGTTGCTAAAGATGTGGAGTGTATTTCCTGGGGTGGTCAAATGCCGTACGCTTCCGACCGACGAGCCTGTGCTGCAAGACTTAAGGCGAGTTTACGACCAAGTCCCAGCTGATGCTGATCACGCAAAACTCCTCCTAGCTGTGTACTTGACCCCCCCCCCGAGACCGCAAGCTATCGCTGAGAAGGCGACGCAGCTCTTCAAAAAAGATCAGGCCCCACGTTCCAGTTGAGTCGCAGAGTGACAGCCTGTACACATCACCAAGTGCTGAGCAAGAAGAGAAGTCAAGAGCAATTAACAAGCTCGACGTGAGCGCAAGCAGAACGAAACAGACAGCGGAAAGGATTAATTGACTCTTAGCTCTAATTCAAATCAAAATGATCCTTAAGTGCATCTCTTAATGATAGAAGCATATGGACCTCCTTTGAGTATACGGATCATGCTTGCATAGCACCAAGTTCGAATTTGAACGAAAAGCATTCCTCATTGGCTGAAACTGATAGCATATTCGGATCTAGCGCAAAATTTCACACAAAACTACCCAATAAATTTTTTGCGAGTTTAAACTTTTTTAGCTCTCAAATTTTTGAGCTGCCCGTATCTTGGCGCAAACTTCAATATTGAAGCTAGCCAGTACATCATTCGAAGCGTCTCGATATACTCTATCGAATTCACTTACTAAATTAAAAAGTAGTTTTTTTGATAAGGATCGTTTTAGTTGACTCATAGAGGCTCGCTCTAACGTGAACCAGTTGGCACTTTCAAGTCTTTTTTTTTTTTACCTTTGAGCAGATCACTATTGGTCTACGTTAGTGCTACGAGCCAAAATCTATAGTTCTATTTTATAATTTTTAAAACTCGCAATTACGACTCTACCAATTACATGCAAGCTGCACTAATACTACATGGAAATGGACGTATCCAATCGACAATCTTTGATAAAAATCGACAAACCTTACAGTTGAGAAAAACAAATTAGGGGAATTTGCCAGTTCATTGACCTTGACCAGTTAAGTAATACAGTGACGAAGGATCGAGGTGCTGCTGTGGCTGATGTCCTCGCAGTGGCCTCCATGAAGACAACAAGTGAGGAGACCGACATGCCGTACAGCACGCTCAAGGAGTATGTGGTGGCCGCACGCAAAGGATCCCCACAAGAGCCGAAGCGCCGAGGCCCTCCGCCTCTGTTGCCACGTGATGTGAAAGACACTGGGTGCTAGGAAGGAAGCAAATAGGACACCCTGTCAGCCGCCGCGAGCTCCTTGAGAAGGCGCAACAAGTGCCACAACTCGTGAGCGGGCTATCGGTGGGGGGAGGCTGACTATGTCGCTTCTTGAAGCAATACCCCTCGCTGGCTTCAGATGCTATTTCGAAGACACGTAATGAGATTGGAGACCGAGATTTGTCCGTTTTTGTTCTCTTCGTTGGCCGAGCAAAGTATAGGTGTTGCTCGCGTTTTTAATGTCGACGAAACCGCTATCAAGACTACTCGAGAGCACAAGCAAATAATTGTGGCGAAAGGCTCTAAACATGTGTGGCACAAGAAAATTAAGACGCACTTCCACCTCAGTTTTGTGGCCTGCGGTAATGCGAGCAGGTTTGTTGTGCTCCCGCTGTTTGTATTTCCCGGATAAAGTGCTGACGATAACATCTTTGACAAGCGTAGTGTACCTGGCGACGGTGTGACCACGACATAAATGGCCATCATGACTGCCTCGCTCTTTCGCCAATGGATACATTTGTTTTCGGATGCGGTTCCTACTTACATTTAAATACTGTTGCTACTGGTTATGGATGGATGCTCTTCCCACATTTCGCTACCAATTGGCGATACTGCTAAGGACCTCGGAATTATTCTTGTCTGTCTACCATCCAACGGCACCCATATCCTCCAGCCCTTGGACATTGGGTATTTTTGCCTTTCCAGACTAGTCTCAAATTTCTCATCGACAAACAGCTGTCGACCATGAGTGGTACCGTGGGCAAGCAGACAGCCTTGAGTGTTGCTGGCCTAGCATGGAACTATGCATGCTCAGAAAGTAGCCATTCTGCCGGCTTTAGTAGCTGTGGAATCTCCCGCTCTCGTGTGTGAATATACACGCTAAGCTAGAGAGCTCTGAGCGCAACGGTCTGCCTGCTTCACATAGAGAAGCTGCCTGGCAGCAAGTCTTGGATATCGTTCGACAGAAGCTCCCTATTCTGCCGACTCGAGCACTCAAAAAGGGCAAGAAAAAGCAGAAAGAGACGGGAGGCCATATTTTAACTCGTGAACTCCTCCAAAATAAAAAAAAGCTCAAGCAAACGTGCCAAGAAAAAAAGTAACCGACCAGCGCAGTAAGCCAGAATGAGGCTCCTGTGCAGATAATAACGGCAATACCACCAGTGATGGATGATATTCCAGTGGTGCCAGTAGTTGAGCCGTCAGCTATGATGTAGGCGTGGGTTTAACCGGTAGCGGTTGATAAACCTACCAAAACACAGCGTTTTTGTCAATATCACTTATGTCAGGTTTTCCTCCCTAATGCTGAAGCGTAATTACTTTAACAAATTTACAGTCTGCTACTCAGCCATTTCTCCTGATATGTGATTAGTGGGACTCGAATCCACAATATTTACTCGGAAGGAAAATGATTTACGAATTAATCTATAATCACAAAATAAATGTCAAGTCTTTTATTATTCCCCTTTTAAAATTTAACGGAAATACCAAATACCGCCTTTGGGTCCATTTATTTAAAATACTATATAAAGCAAAAAAAGGGATTCGAACCCTCTTGGCAAGATTAAACTCTACCATTGAGCTATTTTTGCTAAAAAGTGTCTACGAGCTACTGTAGCAAGCGCGGCATTTGAAATTCGGCGCTGGTAAAAACGTACGTATAACTGTCCTAAAATGCACTAATTGTTCTAATAATATTAGAACTAATTGTTCTAAAAGCTAATTGTTCTAATAAACTAATTGTTCTAATATTATTAGAACAATTAGTGCATTTTAGGACAGCTATACGTATATATTATCTGCTGACAGTACTTATCTTCGCCATAAAAAGCCTCCAGATAAGGAGCCCGCTTACATTATCAACTAGCGATCGTAATGACCAGCCGCGGTTCGCTTCGCTCGCGATTAAAAGATTGGATGTACTGGAGAGTGCAATCCTCGACTCGCTGGTGGGCTCGACGCTGGGCCCGCCTCCGCAAATACCGCGCGGGTTTGCTGCGGCTACGCGACCTCGCACCCGCTCGCCTCCGTTGGAAGCAAAATAGAATATCAAAGGTATTTGTTAGGGCATTTTGGAACAGGTTTATGTAGCCCCTGAAATTCATAATAAAAAGGCTACTAAACTGGCAGCAGACAATTTAGCTTGTAGGCCGTAGATTTTCATGACAATTTTTTCTACAAAAATCGCCCAACGTTTCAGCTTTCCAAGTGGCGTCTCAATTTATTTATAATTACTGGAGCTATCGGTTTTTTGTGCTGTCACTCTTGGACTTACAGTCAGGCTTGCCGTGTCTCTATAATAATTAATGCTTCACCTTGCAGGTCCGGGATTCAATAGGAGTTTTGCCCAATTTACATGTATCTTTGGGTCTTGTGGTCGAGTGGGATATAATACTGAATCGTAATATTATTTAGGGAAATTGTCAGTTTAGTAGCCCTGTCGGAGACGTATTGCCGGCTTTCTTGCCCCAGCAGCGACTGATGGATTCAAAACTGCCGGATATCCACACTTGTCTAAGACACACAAGTCAATCTGACCCATTTCTTATGCGTTGCATCCAGCCACGTGTTGCCAGCGCCGCAAACACAAATAATGCATTTAGCATCAGTATACAAATATCAGAGGCATGGATACAATTCTACAAATTTGTCTGACTCTCAATCTCTTAAAGAATGTAAGGAAGTCGGACCAACTTACATTCTTTTAGTAATCTGGAGTCAGAAAGCACGAGCTGTTAAACCTCTTCGCCACCTTCAGTGACCGAGCACTTCACGTGTTGGTCAAGACTGAGCCTTGTAACTTCGCCGTGTCAAAGTAGTTGGCGGTACGTTGTACATGCCTGCCCCGGGGACAGTGTGTTGAGCCCAGCTGGAGCTGTAGCGCGCTGCCGAAATAGAACGGAGCGCTGTGCTTCCAAGTTCCGGAGCTTTGCCATCGTCAGCTGGTGGAAGAAAAAGAGCCGTGTCCGGTCTCACAACACGAGCGTGTGCAACGCGACCGTTGTAACTGGCCCCATTGTCAGCACAAGTGTAATTTGGAGCCCGTCAGTCAACGTTCAGACCTCAAGAGCCGAGGCTGCGTCCAAGTAACAGCTCGAAGCCTCCAAGCGTAGACGCCTCTCGCTTCATTTACCCGTTTGAGCGGGTTTAGCGCTGCGCCCAGGGGCCGAGTAGTAGCTAAACCCGTCGTCTCCAGCCTTCAGAGCCCAAGAAACCATGGAGTCCGACGACTCCATGTCTGTGCTGCTTCCGATGGTGTCTTTGATGCTTCTGCTCGTGTTTGCGGGCGGTCTGTGGTTCCTCCGCACGCGCAACCAGCTACGAGGCGCGTCGCAGTCTTTCCTTGCCAGGTGCGTCGCTCCAACCAGCTCGAGAAGCAAATTTACAGTGTTCTTAACGCGTTGTTGCCCTTCTACCCATACAGAATGCTGCTCCAGGAGCAGGAAACCGTAACGAGACTAGATCTGGAGCGTGGAGAGGCACAAGCAGAGCGCTGGAAGTGCTCTGTGTGTGAATTCAGCAACGCGTTGGACCGTCCGACGTGTTTGCTGTGCGGAACAAAGAATTTCAAGAGAGAAGAACTGCCACGGCTCAAACAATCAATCGCAGGCAGAGACGAGCGTCTGAGCTCCACCAGCTCCATTACTATGCTCGCAAGGCCTTCACTGACAGCGCAAAGGTCTTCCATACTCAGTGTCGGCAGTAGGCAGTCGCTGCGCCCTCTACGACTCTCCACACTCAATCCGAGACAAAAGTACGCTCGACGACGGAAGGAATGGGTGCGTTGTCTCGGAGAAGACGGCGAGTCCGCCTTCTGGACCCGAGCGGACGTCGCTGCAGCTGCTAGGAGACTCACAGTCGTTCACGGCGCTGCAGCAGGGCACAGCGGCCGCGTGTCCGTAGGCTTCGTGACGCACATGGTGCGGCGCTCGTCCATGATGGGAGACGTCGGTCGCCTCACGTTCGCTGACGCTTCGCAGCTGGACGCAGCGGAGACGATCAGCGGCTACAAACTCACTGCGCGCGAGTTGGAGCTGCTGGACCGCGTGTCGAGACTGCCATTCCCCAAGAAATACACGTGGTTCTTGGAGAGAATGGGGGCGCTCTTGAGACCGTGGGAAGAAGGCCGCATTAAGCTTCGAGTCCAGCGTGAGCACATTCTCGTGGAGAGTATGGAGCAGCTGCTGGGTATCCAGCCTGAACATATCCACTTCCCTCTGCGCATTGAGTTCGTGGGGGAAGCAGGGATCGACGCTGGCGGGCTGCAACGGGAATGGTTCTCCATCTTGTTCGGTAGACTGCTCGACGACGAGCTGGGACTCTTCATGACGTGCCATCGACACACTCAAGCTGTGGCGATTAACCCTCACTCGGAAGACTGTACAGCTGACCACTTGCTGTACTTCCGAGGCATCGGGAGATTACTGGGCCGTGCCTTGTTGGAAGGACAGACCATGCAGGCGAGACTGTGTCTGCCCATTCTCAAGCATTTCCTCGGTACACCCATCACGTTCTCGGACCTGCAGTATGTAGACCCAGAAGTGTACACTAGTATGCTCTGGATCCGAGATAATGACGGTGTAGATGCCCTTGAGCTCACGTTCTGCGTTACCGAGCTACGTGCGGATGACGAAGTGATCACCATCGACCTGGTTCCCGAAGGAAGTGACAAACCCGTGACAGATGCCAACAAGACGGAGTTTCTGCACCTTAAGTTGCGCTATCTCATGCTCGACCGCTATGCGCCACAGCTCCAAGCTCTCTCGCTCGGACTGTTCGAGATCGTCCCTCAAGAAGCTCTTTTAGTCTTCGACTACCAAGAGCTGGAGCTTGTACTGTGCGGGCTGCCAGAGATCGACATGAAGGACTGGAAGAACAACACTGTAGTCGCCCCCAGCTTCAGTGACACCCCGCTGGTCGTCGACTGGTTCTGGGAAGTGGTCCAGGGCTTCTCGGAAGACGAACGAGCTCGTTTCTTGCAGTTCTCGACAGGCTCGTCGCGTGTACCAGTGCAAGGATTCAAGGGCCTGACGAGTTATGATGGACGCATCTGTCCCTTTTCGTTGAGGCCGCTGCCTAACCAAACGCGTGGCTTCCCAAAGGTTCACACGTGCTTTAACCGCGTCGAGTTGCCGTTATATACCACCAAGACCGACATGGAGACGGCTCTCTACGCCGTGCTTGATATGGAGTGGACCGAGTTCAGCGAGGAGTGAGGGGACCAAAAAGCTGGACACTTAAGTGCTGAATTGGACTATTTAATGCGATTGTGTTGAGTGACTTGTCTCGATTCTCTTGCTGTCATTTCCCATCGTCTTGCGCAGTCTCCCAAAGGCGATTTTCACCGTGCAGTACTACAGTTAAAGTAGGAAAGAAGCCAAGTCACCGACTGAACTACGAGCATCGTGCTGTCTTTAAGTCTCGAGAGAAGTCGCCAGGCAGTCGACAGTCTAGCGGACACCTTAAGGCAGTTGATGAACACGATGGCTGCGACTGGGCTGGGCGCAGATTCGCCGTCTCCACGGGCGTTGCCATTGCTAACCGCCAGTCCTGCGTTCGAAGAGGGAGACAAGAACGACTACAGGGCAGACGACGAGAAGGATTTTGGAAGCGAAGTGGACAACGGCTTCGACTTTACTCCTTCTGCGAACATTTCCTCTGCTGCTAGTGAGACAAGCGAAGACGTCAAGGGTGACGCAGAGAAGAAAGCAGAGGACGACGAAGAAGAGCAGATTATGGAGAATGTTCTGCTTGGTCTGGATGGAGATGTCACCGAGAAGGCTCTTGCAGATGCGAGTGCTGTGCAGAAGGTTGACGTTGCACGTCACACTGCTGTTCAAGACACAATTGTCGTCAAGAAGTACACGCAGGCTGTGCGTGGAGATGAGAGTTCGAAACATTCTACGGAGCTCGTGGCCGTGAGTGTGAGCACTTCGTCTGCTGTGGTTAATCAAGAAACGTCGCTAACGCTAGCATCAAGGGCCATTCCATCGGATGGTGAACAGGATTCAAGCAATGAGGATGTTGACATGGACGTGAAGATTCCAGAAGAGATTTTGTTCCCGAGTGATGATGACGAAAGTGACGACATTGCAGCGGAAGCAAGCGAGACTGCGGAGAAGACGAACGAGGAGGAGAAACCTGTGACTGATGATTTCACGAGTAAGAATTCATTATGTCAAGACAGCGAAGAAGTTCGTGGCGGGAAGAGCGGTGGACACGAGGAAGCTCAAGAAGACGCTCCAGCATCGTCCGATTCTGATGTTGCTGTGATCCAGTCGCATTCACCTGCGCACTCGGAGCCGAGTCTTGTTCCGGCTGCCACAATGGTAACGAAAGCTAGAAGCACGGAGACCCCACTGCCACTTTGCGACGCACTTGCTGGTACCCACCAAGAGCCTGCAGAGCTGACGGAGATTTCATCTTCGAAGGAGAATGGACAGGCCGACGAAGACATGGAGATCGATGAGATCGTGGATGAAACTCCTCAAAGCGCAGAGAACGAGGCTACTGAAGCAGAGCTGCAACCACCTGCACAGCAATCACAACCGGAAACGCGGCCCAAACGTTCTACACCGGCAAAGACAGGCAGTCCTTCTACAACGCCCGCTGCTCAGCCTAGTAGCAGCGAAAACCCTCCAAGAGACGAGTCTGCATCAGCTTTGAATCCGGATAGTGGCTCGAGCCCAAAGCGTCCGCGGAAGAGAACGGTGGCTCCTGTTCACACGCCAAAGCAGTCGAAGCAAGCTGCTTCGAAGAGGCGGAAGACTCTTCCGGTATCTGTTAAAGCCGGCGAATTTGGTGCTGAAACTTTGCTGCCTCTACGTCGCTCGTCACGGATCAAGGCTGAGCCTCCCAAGTTCGCACTCCCCGCTCAACAACTGTCGGATGCGACTGTAATGACTCACTTCGGTCGCAAGGCTGACAATGGGATGGCATGCAAGCATTGTGGCAAGGAGTTTACGGTATCACGCGGTCTTGCGGCGCGGCATCTCCAAGACTGTCCAGCGTTGGCATCCCACGAGAAAACTGCAGCTGCGTTACCAGCGCCTCCGACAACTGCACCAACCCACGCACAGTCGGCAAAGCCAACGCGTGAAGCAAGCGACCAGCTGGTGCAGTTAATGGGGTCTGGGGAACTCGCTAGCAAAGTGAAGGAGTCTTTCTTAGGATCCCCATTTTCAGGTCACGCTCCAGTGTCTCGCTTCCTGGGGCTTATCAGAAACGACGTCTCGGGGTTGAGGCACTTAAACGTGCAGAATTTACTCGATGCTATCGATGCCGACGATGGCCCTGCCGTGCAACTTCACCCGAAGCTTCCTGGTGTCCGTCGTAGCACTGGATCTCATGTCCTGGAGCCCGTATCCAGCGCAAAAGCTCGAGATCTGGAGAAATGTCCGCTTCGCTTTCCAGCCCCACGTGGTGTCGCTGAGCACTTCATTACGCCGTTAGCAAAGGAACTGGGTCTTGAGTACGCTATGGCTCGACACACGGCAAAGATAGTGAGCTGCCCCCAAGAAGAGACTGTGCTGGACTGGCAGTTCCATCGCTCCGAGACTGTGATCTTCCAACTGAGTGGGAAATCTTTGTGGAGAACGAAGAAGAGTTCAGTGGACTACCCAGTTGACTGTTTCCATCCCGCTTCATGGCAACTGGAAGATGTGGCACAAATTGCAAAAGGTCATTGTTTATCGTCGACGAGTGATGCCAGAGTGGGATTTTTGGCTCCTCCAAGTGGGGATTTTGATGTTTTCGATGAGAACGCGACTATGGCTGACGTCTCCGGTGAGACACAAAAGCATTTACTCAAGTCTGGGTCAGTTCTGTATCTTCCTGCTGGAGTGTGGTTCGAGACGGAGACACAAGGTGCCAATTCGCTGTGGCTTGAGGTGCAACTGGACTCATTTACGTACGAGGAGTTGGTGCTCTCAGCTGTGAAGCAACTTGCTTTAAGTGGCAAACAATGGCGAATGCGAGTCCAATTGTGTCCTGGCGATCGACACCAAATTCAACAAGCGCGACACCATGCAGAGGGCTGCATCCAGTCGCTGTGTAAGGAGATGAAAGAGATCAACGGGAGAGACGTACTCCCTGAATACTTGGTTACTCAGGACTTGCAGGAGCTGGTGGATCAAGGTCTCGTTCAGGTCACAAGCCAGACGGCCGAGTCGACGAGTCTTGCTGTGGATCTGACCAATCCGAGGTTCAAGTTGAAGCATGTGAAGGTCTTCCGAGACTCTACGTATCGCGTCAACCCGGTCGCTGTATTGATGAGTACAGACGAAATTCCTCACGTACAAGCACATCGCAGCGAGACTCCGAACTCTGAGGACACGACGCCTGCAAATATCTCGCAGACTCAGCATCGTGCCTTGAGAAAGACGCCTAAGCCGAAGCCGAAGCGCAAGCAAACGCTGCGAGCGATTTCTCACACTGACAAGCAAACGTACGTGCTGGACGATAACTTTGGCAACGACAAGAGACAATCTCGGCTGCACGTCAAGTTTCAGTGCTCGGCAGAGCAGTCGAAGTTTGTGGAATGGCTTCGAGGCCGTGGCAGCGAACTCTTTGATTTGGAGGAGTTTAGTCGCGGTGATGGCTTGTTGGTAAGCCAAGGGAACGGCCCAGCACGTTGTGAGGAGAGTGCGCGAAGCTTGTTGCGATTCCTGCACTTTGTCGGCTACGTTACTCAAGTGTAAGGCGCCGTAGGGAGTGTCTGAAATGGTCAAGAAGGACCCAAGGGATTATTTTTGAATGATGCAGATTTTTGCTATTTGGCTCGAACTTGAGTGTTGACATGTCGTTGTGCTATCACTAACGCTGTACTTAAAACAGGTCGCAATTCTGGACGAACATTCTGCTCAGATTTTATTTATTGAGCATCTCGTCGAACGGAACAAGTTGCCTCGGTCTTCACTTGTCGTGGGTCTACTTCACCTGGCCCTGTGTCATGGTCCTCTTGCGCATGAGGAAAAGCAGTTTCTTAGTCTTGAGAGTGATCCGGTGGTCAACTAGTCGGACACCTTCAAAGACGCTAAAGCCTGCGATGTACTGGAAATCGTCTTCCAGCGGTGTCGGGTCCTTGGCTGTCAGTAGATAGTCATACTGCTTGAGCTGCTCAGTGGTAGCTACTGACTCGTCCTTGGAGTACCTGAGCATGGTTCGTAAGTTAGTAAGCTTCAACGACTCGGGAAGAGCAGCATACGAACCTCCAAGTGGGGAACTCCTCTCCAAAACGAGACACCCCCGTCATCGCAGCAGGAACGTCAATATGAACACTGCGAGGCAAGTCACGCTCCTTCGCAGCGATTTGGTGCAATCGCACGAACGCTTCACCACCTGGGGAGTAATGCAGCGTCAGAATGAGCCACTATTGGTGAATAAGAAGATCAATTCGCACCTGGGTAATTGGACTGAGCGGCCGTGAGCAGGAACAAAGTGCCGAGGATTGTGACGAAGAGGCATCCGACAGCACCAACAAACGGAAGAAGCGCCTGTGAAAGAAAAAAAAACACACATTAACAATTGAGCAGCTTCGTACCAAACGAAGTGATAAAGTATCGCTTACCTTGCTTCTGCTGCGATACAGCTTGGCCAGTCCCTATGCAGCGAAGTGCACAACAAGGCGGGTAAGTCTTGCAAGCTCACCAATACCCAAAAGCTCAAGACATACATACCACAGCTGACACCATGTTCAGAATAGGGATCGCATTGAAGATGAAGCGCAGCTCCTTGTGAGGTAGGAGCGAGAAGAGTCCCAGGTAGACGAACACAGGCCACACCAGAGAAAAGACGCTCCAGTCGAGAAACGGCGCCGTCTTAAATGACCACGTAATATCGTGCAACGAGCGGCTCCTCAGGAGTGTCGGAAGTAAAGTGCTGTCGTTTTCACACAGACCGACAGTGTACCAGTGAGTTTTCAGCCTTCCGCTCCAGCTCTACCCAGAACACGAACCTGAGGCCAAGCGGGATGAGCAAAGCTGTCATCTGTAGAGCACGCGGCAGTGCGGAGGTAAAATACCACAGCGGTGGACTCACCCCCCACTCGCTGCTCTTGTTCTGCACCGTGTTGAACCACAGCACCTCGCCCTCAGGCCACAGCCATCGTTGCCAGAAGTAAGAATCCACTAGCACTGTCAGAGCTAGAGACACCATCCCCGACGACAGTCCCCACCCAATCATCCGCAAGAAAGACACTCGGCGCGACAGCAGCATACTCAGCACTAAGGGAGCGAACAAGACGATCGTGTCTGCTCGGAATACTACCGTCGTGAAGGTGAACAGGAACACACAACGCTGCCACTTGCCCTACCAATGAACAGTAAATATAACGATCAATACCTCATCGTTGCATTTATTTACTACGCCCACCACGTACCCGAAGCCAGAAACCCAGTCCAAGCAGCACCAGTGCCTACGACAGTTATGAAGCCAAGCTTGTAAGTGGTCCTTGTTCTACCTCATTCAACATCGTCCTACTTTTCGTACCAGCGCATACACATTGGGTAGAGTGCGCGTCATGTAGAACAGCAAATGGAACTGGCAGGCACAGATCAGCAGCAAGAACCGACTCACGTCACGACCGAATCGCATTCCCACGCCGTCACTGAAGAAGACCAGGCTTCCTAGTGTCATCATCCCCAATACCCAGCGCGTTGCCAGTTGCATCCAGAACTTCGGGCCCCCAACAGTTTCAAGGACCCAAACAATGGGGCGACTCACACCCGCCACCACCAAGGAGCCCAAAAAGGTGCGAGGAACTACCCCTGGAAACTCCACATGGTCAAACTTGTCTACATTGCGCACCCCAAATGCCAGTAGATCGTGCGTTGCCTGTAGATTAAAACTCTCCTCAACTTTTGCGAAGGGACAGATGAACAGGTACGCCGTTACAGCCAAAGCCACCAGCAGTTCCGCACGGCGGCCACGCATCAGGAGCGTCATCGCTGTGTCAATAACTGAGGACGAGAATTGATTTTATACCGGTAGTTTAGAACCCAAGTCATTAAACCAGAGTCACGTTTTAATACCAGCACATATTATTGGATAATATGGACTACCGTCTTACCGCGTACTAGACGCCTAGGCGTTCTAATGTTATAGAACGCCTACTGGGCGGTGTATTCCTGTAGTACGCCTAGGCGGAATAATTCGAGGGAGTATCTCAAATGAGACGAACGCGATCACCTAGGTGGTTTAAATGAGGGAAAAGGAAAATCGAGATGAGCACGATCACCAGCACTGATAATGTATTATACATGAAAGCCGTTAACCTCGAGAAAGTAGTAATGACCGATTCGAGCCATACAAATGGTTTTAACTGGGTCGTCGACGCTGTACGCGAATGCTTCGACAACACGGCAATCCTCGTCCAGAGTTTTCACTTCAATATTGCAACGATGCTTGCGAACGGCGGCAAACAACTCAAGCTCGCCGCCTGGAATCTCTCCATCTTGTAGCGCCTTCAAATATGCTTCGTCGAAAAGGCCATCTAGATCTTCTAAAGTCTTCATGTACTGGATCAAGGAAGCCACATAATCCGGTGTGTCTGCGCCAATGCCATGCTGCATCAGAAAAACTAGCTCCTTCGGATATCTTCAGGGATGTACCATGCCGGGTTTGCAATACACAGCTCCTCGCGATTGTCAACATTCGACACAAGAGCTTGGTATCGCTGATGCCACTCATCCATGCTGATTTTGCCACTAATAAGCTGTCTGAGAGGCGGATGCAGCATTTCCATGCTGAAAGCTGACCTACGAACAAGCCCACATAGCTCGAAAGCATGAGAAATCTCCTCACTCGTTTTGCTTGCTGCCCATTCAAGCACCCATTCGGCGACTTTAAAGTACTTTGGTACTTTTGGATTACCAGCAGGCGTTTGAAGCGCCGAGTCACACAGTGCTTGCGCAATGTAAGTGTCATACTTGTTCCGATAAAATTCTTGAAAGCTGCGCTTAACGGCAACATCCAGCGGCTGGCAGAGACTCGTAAGGTTGGGTGGGACTAACAGCACATGAACGTTGTAGTTGCGAAGCCGTTGCTCATCAAACATTTTGACATGCGCCGCGTAGGAATCGATGATGTACAGGACGTGCTGGCGATACAACTTTGTCTCTTGGCGACCGCAAATGACTTGTTTAGCGTGCTCTAACAAGATTTCATCGCTCCACATTCCGGAATTGTTAACGTCTACCATGACGCCTGGTGGACACACAGGTTTCTTCTTCAACTTCGAGAGCAACAAGTGAGGGGTCAAGATTTGGCCGTCTCCAGTGATCGAGAATGTTGCAGTGAAGCGTTTGTGGCTCGTTCCGCCTTTTCGCAGCAAGACCTCACGTGAGCCTTTGGTCGTAATTGTTGTTTTCGGTTCGGTCTCGAAATACCTCGGAACCTGATCCATGTTAATGACATTGCAGGGTTGAATGTTGTGCTTTTCAATGAGAGCTTGAGCCTCATTGATAAAGGCAAGACAAATAGCTGCAGCATCGACCGGAAGCGTTCTGGTAGTTGTTTGGCGGCGGGACACTAGATTGTATCGGGTTTTGAGGCGGTCCAGCCACCCCGAAGATGCTTTGAATGGGTCGGGCTGCTTATCGGAGTCGACAACTACCAACTTGCTGTGAAGGTTGAGAGCTTGAAGTTGTATATACTTGTCTTTGACACGCAGTCCTTTGTTATTTCTCTCAATGATCCACTCGTGAAGGTCCTTCTCCAGTTGTTGATGCTGTGGGTTTCTACCTGCTCCAGGCAGACGCCGAACTGTTCGTGTCGCTACTTGTCGGTCTTTGGAAGCGGCATGAAGCTTCTCTCGGTTGCGGTGCCAATCGCGAACCAACGATGGAGACGTCAATTCGTACTTCTTAGCAAGCGCGTTGAACCCACACCCTTTAACGTTGAACTTGTACACGCTGATTACATGCAGCTTGAACTGTAGGCTATAGCTGGAGCGTTTTGAAGGCATGCTTGTGCGTGTTTTTGAGCAAAATGGGAACTGCCAAGGCATTGAAGGAGGCAAAACCAGCTCGGTCGGACAGCGTCGGCCATCCATCGGCAAAACCAGCTCGGCCGGCCAGCGCCGGCCATCCATCGATGAACACAAGTTTTAGCTTGCCGTATGTGCTACTACCACATGGTCATGCTAGGCGTTGTATTTGAATAGGCGTTCAATACGAGGGATTCTTCTCTCCAAAATGATTTTGACTTGATCGTATTAAACGCCTAGGCGTCTAGTACGCGGTAAGACGGTAGTACAATGTACTCTTTCGGTAAACTGCCAGTTTAAGTCAATCGGATCATATTAAGACCGACCAATTGCAATTACAGATGCAGTGGATTCGCTATAATTAGAAAGGCAGACGATTCCACTTATACCTCTCAGTTTCGATCTCGCTTCCAACCGCTTCCAACCATGAAGTGCCGCAAGGCTTACAGCATGTGAGGGGGTCACACAGCACCTTGCGCTAGAGGAAATTATCTTCCGAGAGTATACAAGCTCTCAGTGAACGGCAGTTCACAGGTCCCCTCTTTAATTAAAGAGAGCGAAGTGACCTAAATAAGGTAGATTGTAAACTAAGTATATTTATAGGTAGGTTAAGCTTGGGTTTAATACAAACTATAAGTTACCTATAGAAATGCAATGTCATTTAACCAATGGTTGGCTTTGAACGACCTTGGTACCTTGTACCAAATATCCCGGAGTATGACGTGTCATACACCTGAAGTGTGAAGTGTCACACTTCATGTAACCAGGGTACACTTAGGGCTACGTACCCCGTTACATCCTCCCCCACTTAGGTTCGGTTTACCGACCAATCAGAATGAAGAGGTGTTCGTCACAAACTCTCATTCTCAAATTCAAAACCATCGACTTGGCCGCGCGAGCGCGGCGGAGGCTCACTTCACAGTTAGAGCCTCGAGCAGCAACCTGTGTGCTCTTCGTCTAGGTCTCCACTTCGACCGTTATCATGCCTCGTGGCACTGCAAAGAGCGGTGCTAAGACACGCTCCAAGGCTGCTGCCGGTAAGGCGCAAGCCAAGAGCACTAAGCCTCACGGCAAAGGCTCTGCACTCAAGGAGGCTACTCAGGTGGCCTCCGAGGCGATCGGATCCTCGGGTGACGCGGCTGTGGACAAGCGCGCAAGCAGACGCCGCAGTCCGTCGCCCTCGTCTTCAGACAATAGTCCGAACCCTCGGTTCGTAGAACGTGAGTTCAACTCGGGCAGTGAAGACGATGCCGAGTCCGAGAGCACTCATGATGCTCCTGCGGGCTCTGTGGGAGGGCACAGCCCAGTGCCCAGTGAGCACAAAGATGACAGCGTGCAGTCGCCCGCTAGTGATCACGGTGATCACAGTCCCAGGACCTCTGCGCGCTCTGAGAGTCCGGCCGTCAAGGCTAAGGGCGCTCCCAAAGCCGGTGGCGATGAGGAAGAGAATCCTCGCAAACGTCTCTCGCTTGCCGAGGGTCTTGCGCGCGCTAAGGCCTCTAAAGCCGAAGGCGCCAAGCCCTCAAAGAAGCGTACAGCCTCTAAGTCTCCACTCCGCGAGGAGAAGTAGACTCGACGCTCCTATCAGAGTCTCTTCGGCTTCTCGGATGAAGAGGAGGAGAAGGAGGAAGAAGAGGAGGAGGAGGAGGGTGCTATCGTTGAGCCCCGGGAGGTCTCGAATGACCTCGACCAGCAGCAGGAGGAATTTTAAGCTGCCCAGCGTGTGCATGGGGGTTCGGTGGCGGCACCCGTCAGGCAGGGAGCTGCCATCAACTCAAGAGGGTATTGGCCTCCCGAGGAGAGCTCTGGGGCTGACCTCTTCTTAGAGGTCCTCGTCGCTCCTCGTGGCCTCGTGGGCGGCCACACTTCTAGGGGCATCTATGAACGAGCCCTTGTTCAGAAAGAACAGTTGTTCGTCGACAACTTGGAGGCTGCTCGGTGTGTGCTTCTCGCGCCACACCACACTTTCCTTAAGGACTTCACGACTTGTCGTAAGAAGCCCGAGACCCGGGGTGGTCTCTATTATGTTTGGGGATACCCCTAGGTTATGCCCGAGAACTGTCCCACGTGGAGGACATGTTCTGGGCGTGGGTGGAGACTCTCAAGTACTCGCCCACGGAGTTATGGGAACTCCATGAAGATCAGCAGCAGTCCCACATCCTGGACCAGCGTGATCTTCGTGTGAGGTTTGCCCACTTGATCGGCAAGCATATGCTGCCAAGGGACTCCCCTAAAGCGCGCGGCTTCTAGCGCTCACGATGAGCGCGGGTACGGTATGTATTCATCGACCGTACCCCGTTCGGGCAAGAAGCCCCGGACTACTTATGAAGCTGCCGCCGCTTCTGTTCCAAGATTGCGACAGCCTTCGGGCAGTCAATCAGGAGCCGTTCAATCGGCTCCCACGAGTTCTCGGAGTGGGCATAACCCCTCCACTTCACGAGGAGCTGTCGCTTACCGCGACACCGTTGCTCCTCGAGGATCCGCTCCACGTGGAAGTGGACTTCTCCATTCCGGTCAAGCAAGGGCGGAGGTGCCCTCGTACGAGTACGAGTACTCGGCGCCTCCCGAGAGCCACTCTCGTCCGAGTGCTCCGACTGCGGGTCCGACACGGGACCCTGAGGTTGACCGCCTCCGTCAACGTGTCCTCGTGCTTGAGATTGCACTTGGCCTTGGGACTGGCGGTAATGCTGCCGCCCAGGCCGGGAATCAGGGCGAGCTCGCTCGTCTTGCGGGTCGCCTGGACCTGGTGGAGCGAGAGGTCGCGACTCTGCACCTGCGGGTGGATCGCCGGGCCTCTTCGTCCGATTTGGACGAGGCCTTTCGCATGATCCGACGGATCGAGGCTTTGTTGCCACGTCCGGAGCCGACTGCGGCACACTCCCAGACGTACGCGTATGGTGCGTACCCGGCGTACTTAGCGTACTCGGCGTATGGCGCCGGGGTCCGTTCGTATGGAGCC